TTCATCTTTTATATAATCTGAATCTTTTTTTAAAAAAAAATAAATTTTATAATCGTTTTAGTTGTACAGATTATTTGTATTAGCGAATTTGATGCATCGGATAGAGAAACTACACACCTAAATTATCTTCATTATCGATAGAGTTTTTAGCAAATTCGTCAAAATTGCTTCTCTTGTACTTTTTATTCGTAACTATTTTTTTGGAACTTAATTTAGAGCTATTAATCTCACTTATTGAGGTATTAATGTCTAAATTTTCATTGTCATCTTCGTCAAAATCTACGTTCGATGTTACATCACTAGTGCGCAAAAAATTGTTCCATGCAACATTTGTTGAAATGACAGATTGTGGGACAATAGAATGCAATGCAGAAGTCTCTATTGTTCTTGATGTAGAAATAGGTGAATTATTTGCTTCGAGAATTCTCAAGTCTGTATCAATATAACTTGGTGGAGGGGATTCAGCAATTTTTGAAGTGCATTCATCATTTGCTGATAAGAAATGATGCCATTCTATTGAAAATTCACTAATCGAGGGTTCAGAAGTATTGGTTTGTTCTAATGGTGCCATTGAATCAATTACTGTAGCGACGTCTACTACGGTCGTTGTTTCATGCATGCTTAAAAATATTTAATGTGATTATTATTTTGAATATAAATTTACTTGCCGTTCAAAGTAGCACTAAATCCCAAATCTCCAATAAGTTTAAACTATTTTGAATTTTTATTCTTAAAACTCAAAAAATCCCAAACCCTTAAGGATAGATGTCATATGAACCAAATACTGTATGCAAATTTTATTAGTTAATAATAATTTTACTGCGCAATTATCATTATACGTATAAAATTTGAATTTGGACTTCCATATTTTGGATTTGAGATTGGGACTTTAGCTATTTGAATTGAATATAAAAAATAACCCTACTTTTGATTATCATTTCCCTACCTTTCTTTAGACAATTTTGTGCTTAAAGATGGCGAGTCCAAGCGTCTAAAATGTGTAGATGTTAATGCCTCTTTAGAGTATCGTCTACTAATAGATCGCGATCGATTTGTCTTTTCAAAGGAGTCTGTTCACGTGATTAGTACATACATTATGATTTATTTCAAAGATAGATATTTTACCTGAAGAATTTGCATTGTTCGTAACATTCTAGGTAAAAAAATAAAATTTAGGTAATATTCTTGCATAAAATATATATATATCGCGTAGTACTTACGATAGAAGATGAAATACTAACGCCGATCCAATCAAACCCTTGTAAAAGATCCTGTTTACGCTTTAAAATATCTTGATAACAAAAAATACAATGGCGTGATTAAAAACAATACAAGACATTTTTGCAGTAGCGATAATAAATTACCAGTCATGCTTTGTGAAGCAGTTGTAGAATCGATTGCTTTCTCATGATCCAATTCTATCATCTTTGAATCAGGTTCATGAGGTGTACTGCTTTTGTCTTTACAAAATATTTCTGCATTAACTTTAGAATGGTTTAGATCAAGTGAAATTGGTAACGGCCTTTGAACATCTTCGTTATTTGAGCGATTGCTTTCTTCAAGCAAAGAATTTGTTGGATGGTTATCATTATTTTGACGAACAACTTCAATATTGGGCAAGGTACGTGTACGCCTGGGTTTAGTTTTGAGAAATTTATGCACATTCTTTAAGCGCTGGCGACTGAAAAACTCTTTTTGCCTTTGTTGTTCAAGCTTGACTTTTGTTTTGTTTCTTTAAATTATTTTGAATCATCATTATATTTTAGTTTTTTTTTAAAAAATAATGAATTAAATTGTAAATTTGTAAATTTTTTTTTCAACCTTTTACTACCGGTC